CACACCTGACTTGAAGTTATACCATCGTCCTCGATGACCCTGATCCATGATGAGGGGAAAACCCTAATCTCGAGCTGGTTGAATATAAGCTTGCCAATAAGCTTGAATCAAAGGGATGATGAAACTCCAGGCTTTTGATGCCTTTGAGAAAACTTGATATTTGATGACCTTTGATAAGAATTCAACCTTCTGCCAAACTTGAATGAAAGTATTTCAAGGCTAATAGGAAGCCCCAACTCATAGAAACTCCTGATCCCGTGTCTTAAAAGGCTCATGTAGGATATGATTATGAGTTATGACCTAATGATAATGCAAATGAATGCGAAACAACAGCCACAAAAGGTTAGAAAAGGTGAGGGCAAATTTTGGGGTGCTACAATTTTCAGTTGTGTAATATATTCAAAAAGATCAAGAGTACCTTGGTGAAAGCGGTAGAGTTCTTCTTGAATAGCTAAAATGAAGAAAATATCGCTCTGCGAAAACCTAATTTGAAGATTCTTCCAAACACTTGTTGTTGTGTCGATCCATATAACAGATTTCGCAATGGAATCTAAAATTGAATGTTGAATTCAAGATAGAAACATAGTGTTGCATCGAATCCATTAAGGAAACAACATATCAGAAAGATAGAGTTTGGGAAAGGAATCGTCGATGAACTTATCTTTGTTCTTGGAGATTAACACAAGATGTATTGGTCGTGACCAGGTGTAGTAATTCTTGTTATCCAAGGGTGGAGCAACAAGAATCAGCGCAGGACTTTCATTTGGATGAAGATAATAGGGATTTGTAGAGTTTATTGCAAAATTTGAGTAGATATGGTGATCCATAGAAAGAGCAGAAGAAACTCTAAGAAGGAGGATGCAAGATCTTAAGTGAGAAAGAAAAGCGCAAAGAAGAAGAAGAATTCAAAATCTTGAAACAAGAGAGACGAAAAATATTGGTATGCAGAGAAATAAGCTCTGATACCATGACAATGTTGCAACAATGAAAAAAATTAAAAGAAAATAATTTCCATTATGATTGAAATATTTGTATAATTTCCATTACAATTAGAACCGAGTTCCTGAATAAATCAAGGGATCCTCCTCAATCATACGACACTATTAGCCTTCAAACAATATAAAGGAATATTAAAATAAACAAGAATATTATTATTATTACTTAAAAATATTTATCTTAATAGTAATGCCAATTATTGTAGATGTATAATTTATCAAAATTAATATAGTAATGTCAATTATTACATTAGTGTAATAGTTATATTTTTAGTTGTATAAATACTCCTTTTGATTAATATAAAATGACATCTATTTATTTAAAACACACATTCTACTTTCTTCAATCTTTTTTATTAGTTTGATATTATATAACTAAATTAATAATTTATATCATCATACTATTTCACAAATATTAATAAAGAAATATTCAAAATCGATTATTCTAAACACTAAAACTATTTTTATAGTGTCTAGGTACAAATTTGTTTTTTGAATTTTTTTAAATGCTAACTATACTCTATTTTTAAAACTAGTTTTAACACTCACTATTTTATGGATGAACCTACATGAATTTCATCAATAAAAAAGTTAATGTTAAAAAAAAGATTTAAAAAAGTGTTTTTAAATAACTCTTGCACTCTCGTGTCCGTCTGTCCGCTTTTTATAATATTCACGGGCGTAAAATATAAATTGTATAATTATTTTTATTTAATTTTCACTTTATTATTTATTATTTATAAAATAGTAGTAATAGATAATGATATTATAGTTAATAAACTATCACATAACCACCATTTGTAAAAAAAAAAAAAAAAAAAAAAAAAACTAAAAAGAATATGTTTGAAAGAAAAAATAACAACACCAAAATCATGTTTAACATTTATTTATAAGTATAGATAAAAGATGTATTTTTATATAATGTTGAAATAAAATATAAATTTTTGAATATCATTCATAAGTAAATAACGTACAATCAATCATGATTATTTTTGTAGTATACACTATTTGATACCCTTTATTCACTACCACTACCATTTCTTGTATTGCAACGATCAGTGAAACTTTACAACTTTACAATTTTTCTTCAATTTTTTTCCATTGTGCCACAGTTTTAGAAGATAAATCCCCAAATGCCATACTTTTACACATAAATTTCAAAGTGCTATGTTTTCAAAAAAAAATTAATTTTTGAAACAATGTAACCGCCCATGCATTGGACAACACTGCTTTTCTGAAATAGGAAACCGCTCATCCATTGGACGGCAATATGTATGATGAATTTTTTCATTTTATTAAATTTATTACATTTATTATGGTATTTGAGGATTCGTATTTTCGTTTTAAATTTTGTTTGTTACATTTATTATGTTTATAACATTGTTTTTAAATAGATAATATTTATTACATTTATTATGTTTATAAATAGATAATATTTAGATATTTATTATATTTATTACATTATTTTTTATTTATTATGTTTATTAAATTTAGTTAATAATTATTAAATAGATAATTATAGTAAATTAAAATAAAATAAAATAAAATAAAAATAATTATTTTAAAAATAGTACTAATTAAATTAAATTACTACAATAAATATTTATTTATAAAAAATTAAATGAAATATATAATAATAATTATAAAAAAAATACAATAAATAAACTAAAATAAATATTTATTTATTCTTGAAAATTAATATATATATATATATATATATATTATTATAAAAATTAATATATTATTATTATTATTATTATATATATATATATATATATATATATATATATATATATATATTAATTTACATTATTATTATTATTATTAATATTATCAATAATGTTAATATTAATATAATCAATTAATGTGTAATATAAATTTATATTTTGTAATACATAATTTATATTAATTGATAACATTAACTAATATTATTTAATACATGATGATTAATAAAAACATTAACGATTACTTGTTCCCACATTGGGACACCGGGTTCGATTGTGGCCCGTTTGACGACACATTGAACATTTTCTCTCAAGCTTATCAAAGTTATCCATTTCGGTTGTAATACGTCTGCTTACTGGGCGACCTTTCTTGTTCCTCCGCATTCTTGGGTTATGGCAAATTTGATCTCCTTTATAAACTGGCCAATATTCATCGTACGACATCACCGGAAAGCTATTGCTGTAAACCCCAAACAGGTTTGTAACCCTATAAACGTCAGACAAAAGAGCGTAAGCGTCGTGACGCACATTCGAACATGCAGCGATAACATGTGAGCAAGGGACACGAAATACTTGAAACTTTCCGCAGTCACACCATCCGTTCAAGAGGTCGACCTTATAATGTCTCATAGGCTTCCCCTCACCATCGTCTATTGTCTCCTTCACACTGAAAACATTGTTAGCGTAGTCAAAAATTCTGACTTGATGTGTGCTGGATTTTGTTGTTTCTTCTTTCATCACCTTGAGGCAGTTGTCTGTAAATGTTTCGCCAGAATTCAACACAACACTCCACTTTGAACCCCGTTCAGCAAATAAAGATCCCAGCCTATAGTATGTTGCCCTTACCAATGCTGTAATGGGAAAATGACGTGTGCCTTTAAAGAAAGCATTCATTGACTCAACAAGGTTGGTAGTCATGTGACCCCAACGTCGACCCCCGTCAAATGCTCTTGTCCATTTTTCGACTGGAATATTGTCAATCCACTTTAAAGCATTTGCATTTGTCATGTCAATCTCTGACCGATAGTAATGAAATGTTGGTTGGTTTAAAACGTACTCTGAATAATTAAAATATCAATCAATACATGTTATTGACAAAATTTAATGAATATTATGAAATATAGTGAATAAATATTATGCAAAATATAGTTACCCATGTTAATTATTTTTTTTCCATAGGTTCCTGTCCTTGATTTCTCTCATAAAATTTTGTGCAATGTGTCGGATACAATAAACATGCACTGATGGGGATCATGCCAACCATTTTCCACATTGTTGTATGCACTTTCAATTGATGCATGTCGGTCTGAAATTAAACATAGACCTGGTTGTGGCGCAACATGCCTCCTTAAGTTTCTCAGAAAAAATCCCCAACCTTCAGCGGTTTCACCTTCGACAACGGCAAAAGCAACAGGAAATATATTGTTGTTGCCATCTTGTGCCACTGCGATAAGCAGTGTACCCTTGTACTCGTATAACCAGGTTCCGTCAATTTGAAGTATAGGTTTGCAATAGGCAAAACCCCTGATGCATGGTTGAAATGCCCAGAATAGCCGGTGGAAGATGTGTTTCCCTTCAACAATAGTTCCGTCAACTGTATACATGGGTAAGGTTTCTATTTCCAGCACAGTGCCCGGAACGAATTTTTTAAGTGCTAACAGAAAATGTGGAAGTTCATTGTATGAGCTCTCCCAGTTACCGTACACCTGTGCGGGTTTTACACGAAACTAGGTTTCCGCCCATTGAAAGGGCGGTTGTCTTCAGCCTTCACACAGGTCTGCACCCATGCATGCAGACACGTACCAGCATTGAAACCCTAATTTTTTTAACAGCATCTCATTTATTTTTCTACCATCCTTATCTCATACCATTTAATTTTTCTACCATACTTATCTCATCTCATTTATTTTACTACCAATCCTATAAATTTTTACTACCAATCCTTAACTTTATCTCTTATAATTCTACCCATCCTTATCTTTATCTCCTATCTTACACTATAACTCTCACTCTTGAAAATGGTTCTACTCACTTTAGGAGATGACCATCGCGGTACGCTTGAAAACATTGCATCCTATGTAAGTTAATTTATATGTATTTACACAATTCACTTTAGTAAAGTTCAAATATTTTGTCTATGATGTTAGTTACATTCAAATATTTATTTTGTAGGATGAAAAAAATTTCAAACCACGCTCGCATAAGTACATAGTGCCTGATGAGGTTAACAAACCATATTTGATTCGAGCGGGTTTCGGTCACGTCATTAATATAACATCATATGGAATTGATCGCAAATTTCTTCTCGTGTTGTGCGAAAGATGGCGACCAGAAACCCACACTTTTCACCTCCCCACGGGGGGAATGCACATTGACACTTGAGGATGTCCATATGTTATTGGGTCTCCGTGTCGATGGGTCAGCGGTTGTGGGTGACACAAACGTTAACTATGCATTAGTAGAAGAACTATTAGGGGTGCCTTTGGAACGAGGTGATAGGAAGGGGCAAAGCATTAAAATCACATGGCTAAAAAGAAATTATAGTGCTTTGAACCTAACCAATGAGTCTCCCGAGGAACACAAACTTTATAAGACTAGAATGTATTTACTACTGCTTTTTGCATGTTTTTTATTTCCTGATACTAATGGTAATACTATTCATCTTCAATATTTACCATTATTAGAAGATTTAAATGAAGTAAGTAGATATAGTTGGGGCGTTTCTACCTTAGCGCATCTATACAGAAATTTGTGTAGATGCGAAATGAAAAATGTGCATAATTTTGCTGGTTGTGGTGTTTTGATTCAAGCTGGGGATGGTCCAGAATGCTCAGACTGTCGCCGAGCAACCCCAATCCATATCACTTTCCATACGCAACCAAGTAAGTATACAAAAAAGTTTATATATATATATTCTTTTCATCTATAATTTTTACTAATTATTTCTTTCATAGGTGGTCTGCGTATGGGATGAATTACGAAAAAACTCCGCATCATTGTGCTCCTGGGTATCGGACGTTCTTGGATCATTTTGAGGAAGACGATGTATTGTCTCTAATCCCTATCTTGAACTTGAAGATGAGGACCCAACTGAGAGCGATATGTGGAGTTTTACAACGTTCATATTTTCTTTCACTTATGTTGAAATGCATCATTCAGATAGGGTAAAACTCCAATTCGGAATTAAACAAGACATTCCTGGTCCACCTACATGCATGGAGATGTACCACAAGAGTACGACCAACGACCAATGAAAATTCGATAATTGGAGAGACCATAACATACAAGAACATCAGCACTGGATAAATCGTCGCCGCACTGTTCTACGAGGAATTGTCATGGATACCGAATGTAAACCCAGTAGTGAATACATGCGTTGGTATAAATCTGTGACCAATTTGTATCTATCACAAAATAGATACTTGTGGGACCCTCGAAACCAACCAACTTCATCAAACTTCCAAAACCAACCAACTCCATCAAACTTCCAAAACATCCCTTCCATGACTTGTAACACCCAACCACCAATATTTAACACCCCACAACAATTATTTAACACCCCACAACAAATATTTAACACCTCATTCAACCCCAACCCAACACAACCACCTTATACCCCAAGTCAACACTACAATCAACCTTACACATCATTTAACCCAAACCCCTTCAACATCCAACAACAAAACCCAACCTCATCATACCCCCAATATAACCAATTCTCATTCTCTCAACCTACCCAACAAGAACATAACTACCAAACACCCCAACCACAAGTTCTTTTTTACCCTTCACAAAACTTCACCCTTTCTCAAGACCAACATCCATACACCCCCCTACATGACTAACACACCGCCACCTCTAAACCCACCAAGTTGGAGTAACGAGGGTACAAGATTAAGTTATGGAAGTGCGGCGGCGATACCAACTGACGACGATTTCAATGATGATTTGGTCGCTGAATTCATGAACTCTAACAATGATGCAGGACCATCTACACAGCGCCAAAACGTTGAGGTTGATCGTAGAAGGCCCACCAGAAATGTACAAGCTCCTGCCTGTGGAACCCACCAACGCTTCCGTCGATCGGGTCGAAATTAATTAAGGGTCAATAGGAATTTTAATGTACATATTTAATTTCAAAAATTAATAAATATTTATTTTAGTTCTTTTATTGTTATTTATTTTATAAATATTATTATATATTTTAGTGTACTATTTTATTTTAATTAAACTATTTTAAAATAATTTATTTAATTTTATTTTATTTTCAAGAAATATTTTAGTTTTTATTATTATTATTATCTTTTTTATAACTATTATTTCTAATTCAATTATTATTATTACTAATTAAATTAAATTAATTAAAACTAAATACATTAATTCTAAATCAATTATTATTATTACTAATTAAATTAAATTAATTAAAACTAAATACATTAATTCTAAATCAATTATTATTATTACTAATTAAATTAAATTAAATTAATTAAAACTAAATACATTAATTAAAAGAAAAAAAAAATAAAAAACAAATGCACTCTACCGTCCATTGAAAGGACAGTTCTCATTCATATTCAACATAGCCGCCCATTGCAAGGGCGGCCGTCTTTAGCCAAAAATTGTATTTTATTTGGAAACATGGCATTTTAGAATATATTGTGAAAATGATGGCATTATGGTGAATAAACCCTAAAAAGTATGGCAGGGTAGAAAAAAATTCACTTTTCTTGCCTAAAAAAGCTTCGTATAAGACAGAAAGAAAACGACAAAAAAATCTGAAAGATTACGGCAGGCAGGAAATGTTTTATAAAATCAACTAGACAGAACAAAATAATAACCTGGCAAATATTCAGCATAGCTATACATTACTAAGTGCTTGTTTGGCTGTGTTTGTATGTGCTTTCCCACATTACAAAGCTTCATTTGACTTGATCATCAATAAGCTACAAATAGTAGCTTGTACTTGGACGCACGTCGGAGGCTTTTGGCCGCGATTTCGAACACGTACTAATATGTATGATTGGACAAGTGTTTGTATACAAAATATCCCAATGCACAACAAATGTGAATTCCCTGAAGCTATATAATGGAGCTTATGCGTGAAAGTGATACTATTTCAACGGTTTTCAACGCAATTTTATAAGAATTCACCGCAGATCCAAACATATGCTCAGCAAATTCTATCAATATGAATATGCAACCATTTCAGAGCATGTCAAGAAATTTTCGCAGCTGCCATATTAGAGTATAGATTTCAACTAGCCATTTAACCATAAATTTGTTTATATTTCCTATATGAATCAAATGAACAAAAATGTCTGTATGAAGGGAAATTATTAGACCTTAGAAAATACATCTAGAAACCACTATGGAAAATAATACAAAAGGCAGAAAATAGAAAGAATGTATATATAACAAAACTGTAGAAAGTACATCTAGAAACCACTATTAGACCTTTCAATGAGAAAGCCTACTCAGATAGTACAAACTATTTTGTAGCTGCAATTCTTGTTCTCCCTCATTCAGGGAAATCATTAGAATCTTGCACTAGACAACTTTTCAGAAACCAGCAGCAGCCAGAAGATGCAAATCTTTTACATCACCATGGCAAATCATTACTGAGTTCTTTGCTCATTTTTCCAAGAATTTTTCGCAGCTTCGGCAGAGGAATCAGTGGATTCCCCATTTCCACCCTTAGGTTTAGAGAAGAAAGGATCCCACTCATGAGGTCCTACTTCACGCTGTCCCTCATCCAACAGTGCATATTTCCAACTATTCTCCTCAATGAAGTTTTCGTCGGTGCGACCTTCAATAATATCCTTCCGCAAATTGGTAACCTTATCAATCATGGCTTGCACAGAAACATCAAAAGCATCTTTTAAAGTCTCTAACTTAGAGCGAGGATCAGCATACACCAATCTAGGAATGAGACTAATCACCTCCTCTCTCATGATCCTCACTTGCTCATCAGGTATCTGACTAAGCCTCTGCTCTATAGTAACATTCCTCTTTCGAATATCATCCTCGGGAATGAATACAGAATACTTAGTATAATCCTTAGGTAGATGCCAGGTATATTGCGTATACGCCGAACCGGGATGGAAAAACACAGGTATACAACCAGCAAGCATTGAATCAAAAGCTGATCTTCTTGTATAAGAATCACCCTGAGGTTGAAGACAAAAAAGTGATCCCTGAAACATCTGCATTATGGAACTGGGAGAATGACATTTACTTTCCCCAAAATCACACTCCAAAAGCTTACCAACCTTGGAACTCCTGCATTGATCAATTATTTGACCCCTAATCGATTTCGCATTACCAGGACGCGGCGCACCTGCGAAAGAAAAAAGCCATTTTCTCTCCAACTTTCTCATCCTCTCCTGCCAAAGAAACACATCCTCGTCTTTTGCAGGGTGGAAATAAGTAGGATAAGGAATCCCAAAATCATTGGCATTCCAAGGACTAGATTCAACAACAAGCATAGACATATTCTTAGCAGCAGGTAAAAACAAAAGCTTGTTACCCCAATCAGATTCCTCCTCAGATAATCTCCTAAAATCCCAAGTTATCCTACCTGCAACAAGAAAATGATCTCTCCCATTCATGATTCCCCATTCGGGCCGCTTCGTCAACCAATCAACGAGATCAAGAGAAGCAGCATCTCTCATAGAAATATTATAACCCCAAAGATAACGCGCAATGTCAAAGCCAGCATAAAACGGCACAAACACAGCAGCAGCAATGGAAGAATCTTTAGTCAAGCATTCATACTGTTTCATTCTATTGGCAAAAATCACATCAACAGCGAATTGGTTAGTAGCATACCAGCCTTTATCAGAGAAAACCCCATCGATGTTTTCGAGAGGTGGACCAAGACCTGCATTGGTAGTGAACTTGCACATGTTGGTCCAGAGAGACAATGTTTTGCAGTCTCGTAACATATCTTGGTTGAACCTGGAAGGAAGATCATGGACGTAAATGTATCTACCTCCACATGGATCGGTTTTGTTGCTGGAAGTTGCGAGGGCTTTTGTAAAGGGGAAGTTTTTTTCGGGAGGGGTTTGTGATTGTAGTGTTGACTTATCAGGGAAGCCAAAGTTCTTCCTGGGAGGACTCTTGAATTGTGGTGGTGGCGGTGGCGGTTGGTGGTTGAGGGGTGTTGTTAGTTGGTTGTTTACGGTGATAGTTATGGTGGATTGTGGTTGATCTTGTTGGGGGAGGATGATGAAATGGAAGTAAAGGAGAAAGAGCCAGAAGAAAGCGGTGAGAATAGCGAGGAAGCAGATTCGGGATTTTTGGGTTTTGGTTGTTGATTTCTCCATTTGATCTTGGAGAATGCCCGCCACAGGGCGCCGCCTCATTACATTACAATCGGCGGTGGATTGAATTGAACCACCGTGAGGTTTGAGTTTTATGGAAAACCCTAGAAATTGGGTTTTTAGATTGAAGAAATTGGGAACGTGAAGAAGAAGAAGAAGAAGAAAAGGAATGAACTTAGCTGGAATAGAAGAGATTGATGAGGCGCACGTTAGCAACCTAGACTGGTCGCAACTGTCGTATGTCGGTGGCCTATTTTTTACTAACACACTTACCTTGACAAAAAATTGTCCCAAAACAACATGGTAGTTCTGTTAACAACTTAGTTGATAAATTGATAAGTAGTACAATTGTAAAGACATGGGTTCCAACCTATGACATTTGACGTATTCATTTTTAATAACTGAAATTCCAGCTATAAGAATAAAAACAGAAAGATAAAATATATTATAATTCCAGCTATTAGATAAAAAACAGTATAATATAAATTCTTTAAATTGTTATTCTCTTTATTTTTACACCTTTAATCATACATGTAAATTAGTTAAATAAGACAAATATTATAGATATTCTCATCTATATATCTAACATGTGCTTCCTACAACGTGTGGGTTTACGGTAATAAAAGAGTAGTATAGTACACAGGTGTGTTACTTACACAATCACTTGAATGAATGAATAAGTTGGTAATGGTGTTTCACCTGTGGATAGATAGATGCACAAAAAAAACAAGGGAATATTCTTATGCCGATGTTGATAATATATTCAAAAAAGGAGTATTCATATCACCTTCAATCCCTTAATGCATATTTCACTAATTCCTCACTTAAGATTATAATGTCAAAGTCACATACTAACTATGTGTTTCAATGTCAAGGTCAACATTCAACCACGCCTTCAATTACGCCGACAGTCACATGCTATTATGAGCCGGCAAAATAATACTGTTAGAAAAAAAGGACAAATTAGAAGCAATTAAGGACATATGGTAAACGATTTTAACATTGTGGAACCAAGGAAGGGCAAGAGGATGAAAATCCCTAACAGAAAATATCATGTGTGTCAGCATATAAAGGAAGGACGAGGCACTAAGAAGGCAAGCAACAAGTAACACTATTTCTCTTCCTCTAGTGGCAATCCTTGTGAATGGATTCTCTCATTTTCATTGCATTAAGTTGTACTGTTTCATTTTAAAAAAGGATTGAGTAATCATTCTCAATCTAATATTCCATAGATTTTTCATTGTAGTAGTCTTTACAATAATGAAGTGATCTTGTGAATATATTTGTTTGCATAATTTTTCATTTGTTATCTCTTTTTCTGTTGAACAACATAACACTTTTTACATTTGGTGCTTTCATCGACTTACCATGGCGAAAAATACACGAATGAAAGGCTTGGAAGCTGCCATTAATGACATCAACACCACGATGCAGAAGATGATGGAAGATGCTGACACACGACATAACAACTACATGCAACACCGACACAACGATATGGTGCATCTTAAACGTGTTGATGCGGATACTCAACTGTTACACAACAAGATCCTTAATGATATTGATCCAATAATTTCTCTATACATAATAACCTGCTCCAAGCTTCCTTTCTGCGACATTCTTCCCTCGAATCTGACAAAGACTTGTTTGAGCGATTACCATTAGCATCGATTCATTGGATAACTCCCAACTTTGTTCTACGACAACCTTCACATGATTTCACCAAAGTATTAAATGGAGTATATAGACACTATTCTCTCTCATGAACAACACACAACCAAAATTCATGTCTAAGAAACAATCTTTCACCCGATACACAAAAGCATAACTTCAAAGAAAAACACTAGATTTCCTATTGTACCATTTATCTACCTCTCATACATAATCTTTAGAGTTAAAGGTCTACAACAATGGTTTTTGACAAAGGTTGAAGATGATGAATAGTATTTGAAGAATCACACACACACACAACTAACATTCACATGATCCACATTCTAGGAGGTAAATCAGAAGGCATGAACAAGGAATTTAGTTGTTGGAGAATGAAGAACAAAAATAAGTTCTCACCAGTTTCTTGGGAAAATGGCTTCTAGGATATTGGGTAATAGTTCTAATATTGATCAATCATATCACTTTATTGATCAAACCTTATTCATTTTCTTTGGGTTTCTTGGTCTTCAACAAGTATCCAAGAATCATAATGATTCTAAAGATGTGATTCCTCACACTTTTATGAGTTTTTCTCTCTAAGGTGACTGAAATTCTTTCATTGACAAAAAGGAGAAAGACTAATAATGGTGCAAGAGGGTAGACACAGGGTGTGAGGGGACTGGAGTACCCTTGTCTGGAAACGGAAACCAGGATATATCTTGCATTCTTTAGATTTTACCTTTTATTTTTCTACACTTTACTTTTCAAGTTCATAAAAAAAGTTTAAGAAAAATAAGAACACATGAATCGTCGTCTAAAATCAAAAAATTCTGATAAACCTAATTCACCCCTATTAGGTTGCACTCTATTAGAAGTAAGGAATATCTCAGGAAGTTCGACGATAAATCCGACAAAGGTATCTGTCGCATTTAAAATAATATGACCATCGCGGAGCGCATCGCACGCTCGCAGAATGACTAATAAAGTTGCCATAAAACTTTATTTATTCTAGAAAAGGGAAAAGGAAAATATCATAAAACCCATAAAAGAACGATAATGATATGGTCGCCACAACCAAATTGATGAGAGTCGATTACGCAAGGGGTAGGTATTAACACCCGTCACATCCATTGTACTCAACGAGAACCATTTAGTTAGTTTGTGCATAAGTGTTAGCTTTTGAATGTTTGCTTTCTCAAGTTATTAAAATGGAAAAAGAAAGGGGTCACAATTTTTTTTATTAATATGCTTGACAAGATTGCAGGTTTTCCTCCCACGTATCTCCGGGTGTGATGGAGAACTCAAACCTATGTATTTCTGGTTAGAACATATTTCTCTTTTGATCGATTTTAGCGAAAGCTATTATGTCACAGTCAACGAAAAAACATTGCTCACTACCCAAAACAGTGGAGGAGGGAACGTTTTCATCACGGAAAAATGGATAGACATATCAACATTTGTGGGAAGACGTCGCTAGCTTACTCACACATATAAGTGGAAAAAGTGTTGTCTTGCATCGTCTCGAGAGGAAACATCATTCGTTATCAAAAAGAGGTTTGAAGGTTGAGCCAAAAGGAAAAATGATTTGGATGTGTTGGATGTATTTTTAGGTGATGACGAGAGCTAGGATTGGCGAGGTATACACCTTGTATCCTAACCTCAGGAGCTTGTGGTATACACCACGTTCCTTTTTAATCTATTTTGATATTTTTAGGTAGTTTTTATTTTTCATTCGAAAAATATTTGCATTAATCGTGTTGAGAGTTTTTCTTTTATGGGACAACGAGGTGTTTGAATGGGCGAGGTATACACCTCAGATCTTAACCTTGGGAGCTCGTGATACACACCACGTTCCTTTTTCATCCTTATTAGTGAAAACGTGTTTAATAATGATTAAGTCTTATAGTTATTATTTGGTAAAAGAGCTTGATGTTGGATTAAATGCTTGATTTGCGTTTTCGAATATGAAATGGTTTGATGGTTTTTAATGATGTTGAATCGATGGTGAAAAGTTGTCAAAGGAAAAAAAGTAAGGTGAGAATCGTAACGCAAAGTGGCGAATTGCATCCCAAAAGGGCGCGAATTTTAGCGCGATGGCACAAACTCTAGCACAAGGCGTAATTCAACGCCTCACAGTAAATGAAATCGAATATATACAAATAATTCAACAAGGTGAAAGGATAAAAGCATATACGACATATTTATAACACACATTCATTGTAATAAAATCGAAATAGTAAAGCAAAAAATGAAATATGCACAGATCAAAATCATGACGCGAGGACGTGAATCGATGTCACGTAACATGAAGACATGCAAAGTAAAACTATCAAAAGTAAGATTCAAATTTGATTTAAATGTAATGGCATTGGATCGTTGTATCTCAACATTAATTAAATTGAAAATTGCTAATTCAAAATGTGCTAATCACAAATAAAATCGATTTACAACGGAATATAATATCGTAAAAACAAAAGTCGCATGTCGAAGCGTGAATTGGTAAAAAGAAAAAGTGTGGATTATTATTATGCTAAACCATCATATGCATATACAAAATGAATTTCCGAACATCATTTCTCTCTTCCCCCAAAATATGAAAGTTCACAATGCACCGTCTCTCTTTTCCCAACATCATTTCTCTCTTCCTCTTCTTCTTTCTTCTTTCTTCCATCTCTTCCTTTCTTCTCTTTTCCCTCTCTTCCTCTACTTCACTCTTCTCTCTTTCGTTGAGTGTACCAACATAATCTTTCTCTTTATTTTCTTCTTTATTATCTCTTCATTTTATTCAATAGAGACTACAAGGTTGTTGGTGTACCGATCAGAATAAGGGATACGACGACAGTTATGGTGTTTTTGATGGTTTTACAACGGTGTGCGGTTTTATAGTGATAGATCTGCGGTGAAAGCTCCAAACATTCTGCACATCTTAGATTTATTTGAGTTTTAAATTAACTGACATGGAAACGAGAAAAAACAAACAAAGCAAACATAAGAGTGACAACCACATCAGGCTTGTGATTAGATGATATGGTACTTTAATGGTTTCACCTTCTTCTTCTTCACATTGAATCATCTTTCTTGCAGATTTTAGGGTTTCTTCTCCAGGCATTTTGATATGTGCAGATTTTTGGTACCTGGCATTGGTGGCTCAATTTTTAATGTTATTAACACCAATAGAGCAAGGAATGTGTTTGGGAACGTTTCCTCTCCGCTGAGCATAAGCTGAAAACTAAGCTTTGGTGGCGTTATGATCCTTTTACGAGTAAACTTTTTTTAGGCTGAATTTTTATGATAAGACTCTCACTCCCTGTTTCATTAGCATGATATTTTTGATAATGTTTGTTAGAATTAGGAAAAACTATAACAATGGATCAAAAATCAACAATTGTGGCACT